GTTGCCATTATGTATACATACCAAATTTTTATCTACTCATTTGTCATTGGATTGAAACTTAGGTCATTTCTATATCTTAGTTGTTGAAAATTGTACTTAAGTAAACAGGTTTGCACGAGTATTTTTTTTTTGAATTCTTATTTTTGTCTGCAAAAAATCGTTGAAGGAACAACTCCTCTTTTAGATATCCACTTCTATGTTAAATTAAAAAGTTGGTCACTTTGGACAGGAGAGATGGTACATTGTTTGTCTTGCATGTGGCTGACCTCAGTTCTATTCCTTTCACCATCTAGTTCCCTGAACTCTGCCATTTTTAACCCTAAACACCCCTCCCCCCCAAAAAAGCTGAACATCTTTGGACTTGTTTATATATATTTATGTATGTATGCATATATATAGTTCTATTACTGTAAGTCATAAGTTAGATTATCTCTGTATTCATTTTCACACATTTATATTACATCATTAAATATATACTTTGTAAACTAGTATGCACTAATACTGCAATATTCAATTGGAGCTGAAATTGAAGGATTGGAATTATGAATCACTTCCCTCAAGTTTATTTTTTTCCTTAAATTACCATAATTTACAAAGAAGCCCTGCTTTCATGGTACTAAGAACCTATCAGTTTCAGTCATATATCATCCAGTGTCACTCATACACCATTCAGTGTCATCAAGGACCCTATATACAAATCACCTCGGAGACCTACATTTTCTGTTTATTATGTGCTGCACTGGAACAGAGGGCCGGAGCAATAGCACAGCGGGTAGGGCGTTTGTCTTGCATGTGGCCGACCTGGTTCTGATTACTCTGTACCTCTCGGAGATCCTGGCAAGCTACTGAGAGTATCCTGCCCTCAAAGCAAAGCCTGGCAAGCTCCCCATGACGTATTTAATATGCCTTAAACAGTAACAACAAGTCTCACAATGGAGACATTAAGACTGGTGCCGACTCGAGCAAATGGATGGACAGTTCTACAGTGCTACAGGGACTGATAGTGTAAACTTTAGTAGCCATCGGAACTTCCTGATTGAGGGTCTGTCCTCTTTTATTTCACCATCCAACCACTGTCCTGAGGTCTGATCACTTGATCACTTTGTGGGACCTGATCCTTCCTGGAATATGGCCACCCCCATTCCCACCCCATCTTCATTACAATTTTCAGAAAAACTTCTCTCTTTTCTGTATAATTGTAAAATTAAGACCTCAGAATAACTAGGATTTTCTCTTTCTAAAGGCGTCTTTACTTATTTTTTTAGGTAAAAGGTGGGAAAATTGTAGTCTGCCAACAGCAGTGCTTGCACTGGTGGTAAAGAGACTTTACTAAACTATATATCTGAACCATAGAATCAACAGTACTGAATTTATGAGATATAAATTATAATAATCAAACTTAAAACCATGTTTGTCAAAGTGGCAGGTGGCTGGAGGAGTGGAGAAGGTAAATGGGGTTGATGGGATTGATTTTTTTTTGATGGGATTGATGTTGAGTCTGAAACCCAACCTTGAATAACTTTGTACATCATGGTGTCTAAATTAAAAAATCTTAATTTGAAAACAGATAAACTTTTAGTTGGGTTCAGTGTAGCTCAGTGTTACAGCACATGTCTTGATTGTGTAAGGCTATGGGTTTGATAGCGCAGGCATCAATATCACTACCACAGGAAAGTTTATTTTTTTTAAATTTCATAAATTCTTAGGTAATTCACTTTTTAAATCTTTAAATATTTAGGCACTTGCTTTAAGGAAGAGAAGGAGTGGGGCACAGGTAAAAAGAGAGAAATGTCAAGAGTCCTCAGACTCCACAGATAAGAAGCATTGTTTTCAGGAGCCTAAATTCTAGTGGGAATGAGTGATGTATTAAAAAGCTTAAAAAATGTTTTATTGTTATTTGGGAAGCTGGTGTTGGTCAGACTACAAATAGTTGTGCGCGTGGCTTAATCCCCCTCTTCACTCAAGGGTCACTTGCCTGCCGGGGATCAAACCTGGGTTGGCTATGTGCAAGGCAAAACCCACTTAATTTTTTTCATATAAGTTTTAAAACAATAACTGCCATCATTCTTTCTTATGCCTTATACTTTCCTTCTATATTTTTTTGCTTCTCACCCTCATCCCCTATTTTTTTTCTTGCTTTTTGGGTCACACCCAGCAATGCTCCGGGGTTACCCTGGCTCATGCACTCAGGAATCACTCCTGGCGATGTTCGGGGGACCATATGGGATGCTGGAAATCGAACCCGGGTCAGCCGCATGCAAAGCAAACACCCTACCCCCTGTGCTATCGAATCAACCCCAATCCCCTATTTTTTAAATTCTCTACTTCTTTCTATTCTCCCTTTATTATTCAGAATGAATACAGAATTTAGTTGGTGAGACCTAGAGGGTTTTTTTCCCCCTCCCATTAGTGATATGATCTTAATTCTGTCATAGTAACACTTAGCACCTGAGTTTTCTATTTTGTGAAAGTTGGGAATAATGTCTTTTCCCCAAAATTCTTAACTGAGCTTTTGTTAGATCAAATAGAAAAACATTAGTACTTGGTAAATCAAATATAGAGGGCTGGAGCGATACCACAGCGGTAGGGCGTTCGCCTTACAAGCGGCCAACATGGCCGACCCGAGTTCAATTCCTCTGCCCCTCTCGGACAGCCCAGCAAGCTACCGAGAGTATTCGATATGCCAAACACAGTAACAACAAAGTCTCCAATGGAGACGTTACTGGACCCGCTCGAGCAAATCGACGATCAACGGGAGGGCCTTTACTTACTTTACTTACTTACTTTAATGATTTAATGTAGAAACAGAATAGTACAAGAAAGAACATAGGTTTTAGTACCATCTAAACTCGTATTTAATTCCTGTATTTGCCACTCATAAGCTTTAGATAACTTTAGTTTCTGTAAGTGTAAAATCAAATAATACCCACTTCATGCTTGTTAGGAGAAAATAGATAATTTTAAATAAATTTAGATGTGGTAAGCAGGGATGCATTGTATTCTTAATTCTTAGATAAAGCATTTGAAACTCAAGGATTTAAATGAATTCACCAGAATTAAATTGGTAATCAGTGAAATTACAAGAATAAATTCTCTAAGACAAACTCCCACTATCAAATATGACTTTGGTGTTTAAGATAAATCCATTAAAGGTAATTTCAAGAAATCCATTTGAATTTTGAGGCTTAAGATATAAATTTGAATATTTGTATAAATGAGATACAAAAGGATTATGTTGAAATATTCAAATTATTGTTCACTGTAAAACAAAGAAATGGTTTATCATCTTATGAAAAATTTTATTTGATGTTAGTGACCCAGGAAAACTAAGGAGATATAATTGTCATCTCCTCGCTTTCATCACTTGACGTGTCTTACAGGTGTAGATAACCCTGATTTTTGTTGTGTTTATTTAGTCATTTATTTAATGAATAACATATAGCATTTTAAAAATGAAAGTTGATGGTTTCAGTCACCTAATAACCCATGGCATATGGTGGGATTCACTTCTAGTTTCATCAGTTTTCTTCATCTTCCTATTTTTGTTTTCTGTTACACTTGACTGGTAATAATAGATTATTATTTTTCCTTCTTTGGAAACTTTCCTGATTATCAGTACATCTCCAAGGGCATAATCATGATCTACTAAAAAATAATCATGTAAATTATAATCATCTCACTCATTTTTCAGAATATTTTTAAAGATGAGGATTTCTGATTTTAAATATTGATTGGGACTTTCCTGGCTTGGGACACAGTAATCATATTCAAAACATTTAGTTTGATATACTCTTAGTTTAAGTCCAGACAATATTGGAGCATTGCAAGAAAGCAATTTTTATGGTTTGCCTGGGATAAAATCTTTGCTAAATCATGGTAAGCTCTGGAAATTTAAAAACTAAAGTAAGTCATGGTGGACAATTTTTACTTTTACATTAATTCAAAAAGTAAACAGTTTAGGAATGGAATATTCCTTGGAACTTTACTAATAAGATATTAAATATATTTTCAGGTTACTATTTTAGATGATGAAAACGGCATATACCCATGATATGTGTGATTCTGTGAGTGCTAGAAATATAAGATTAATTTATGCTAATATATCTGCATTCAAATGCAGTGCTTTCTTTATGTTGAGAAAAAAATCAAAGCATTTTTGTGCTTTTTTAAAATCATTCACTCTAAAATATTATAACATTCAGGGTAAAAAAATGTACAGATCCATAACAGGAATTTTTGTGTAGTGTTTGTATGAACTTTCAAATAAGTTTATGTTTACATGCTTTTACACTTCTGCTTATATGGTATGTGGTTTAGTATTCATTGGTGCATTAAAAAAAAATTCACATCATCTATGAAGACCCAGAGAGCTGTGAGCCTTACTTTGAAAAGAAGCACAAAGGATTCCTTATTCCCTATCACCATAATCAACTAACTTGTTCACACATTTGTTTTCTAAATTCCATGTTTGTTTTCATGTACAAATTAGATGTACTTTCTTTATAATGTGACCAAATGTAATAGCTAATTAACTTTATATTGTCTGGAATGATCCAGGTATATAAATATATATGTATATGTATGTATATATATATTTTTATATATTCTATTGACCTTATAAAATTATTATTCACAAATCATTCACACTCAAAAGGCTCTCAGAATAGATGGGAAGTTATATGTCACCCTGCCAATTTGGTAGATATTGGTAATGTCTTCTTTTCTTTCAGATGCTGCTCTGAAAGAAATACAGATTTGTCTTAAATTTGCCAGCCTGTGCCTGAGATGATTATCAATACTGTGATCTGGTCTTTTGTACTGATGATTCATAATTGATCTAGATCCTGCATTTGAAAAATTGAATTTGTGATGAGACAACTTCATTTTTTAAAAAAGTTTGTTAGTGACTGGAAATCTTTATTTGTATTCAGAAACTAGAGAGCTTAGCAAACAAGAGTTTTGTTCAAGCTAGGTGATAAATTATTTTCTGTGTTTATTAGGTATTTCTCGATATGACGTTTGGTTCAGGAGGACACACGAAAGCCATTCTACAGAAAGAATCAGATATTACTCTGTATGTTTTAGACAGAGACCCAGTAGCTTATGCAATAGCTGAACAGCTTTCAGAATCATATCCGTAAGTAATACTTCATATAATTCTTTATTTGTTGTTGAGTTTCACAGTTTTATTCATCATCTTGGAGTTTGTTTTCTCTTAAAGGATATTATACTTTACTCCAAGAAGAATTTTTTCCCTTTTGATTCCCAAACAATTAATGTAAATGATGTATTTAGTACTTTTTAAATAATATTATTGCTTTTTTCCCCCCTGAATTCCTTAGAATATATTTTTTGAATGACTGGCTACAAATTTGAAGACATATTAAGATCTAGACATGAATATATATATGGGCTGGAATGATAGCACAGCAGTAGGGCGTTTGCCTTGAGCGCGGCTGGCTCGGTCGAGCCGGGTTCGATTCCTCAGCCCCACTCGGAGAGCCCAGCAAGCTACTGAGAGTATCTCACCGACATGGCAAAGCCTGGCAAGCTACCCGTGACGTATTCGATATGCACAGTAACAACAAGTCTCACAATGGAGACGTTACTGGGCCCGCTCGAGAAAATCGATGAACAATGGGAGGACAGTGAAAGCACTGTGTGCGTGTGTGTGCACATATTTTTGGCCACACTTTGCAAAGCTCAGGGATCACTCCTGATACTCATTCAGGATTTACTCCTGGAGCTGGTTTGGGGAAACCGTGTGGGATACTGGAGATAGAACCTGGGTATGATACTTGCAAAAACCCTACCCGCTGTACTTTTGCTCTGGTGCTCCATAGGTAATATTTGACTGATAACTCATTAAACAGTAATTAAAAAATTCTTTTTGAGAAGCTACATCTAACTATGCTCAGGGCTTAGTCCTGACTCTGGGCTCAGGCATTGTTGTTGGTGGGGTTGATGAGATCAAATGTGATGCAGATCAAACCTGGGACAGCTGAATGCAAAGCAAGCATCTTACCCACTGCACTATCTCTTTGACTCCTAAAATATCATTTTAAAGAATTTTATTAGTTTCTGATAATTTAGTGTCAATGTCACTATCACTATCACCCCGTTCTTCAATTTGCTTGAGCGGGCCCAGTATCATCTCCATCCGTTCCTGTCACGTGCAAGTGTAGCCCGATGACATGTTGGGGGCTCCTCCAGGGTCAGGGGAATGAGGACCATTCATTGTTACTGTTTTTGACATATCAAGTACACCACGGGTAGCTTGTCAGGCTCTGCTGTGCGGGCGGGATACTCTCAGTAGCTTGCCAGGCTCTTCGAGACAGATGGAGGCTTTTGGGGCAGCCTCTGATCACCTTTACAGCTGTTCCTGGTCAGGCATATAGGCGGGTATAATACTCTCAGTAGCCTGCTGGGTTCTCTGAGAATGAGAACTAGAGAATAGCAGATTGCGTAGATGTGAATGCAGTTGCACGCTTCTGGAAGCTTGGTCTTATAGTCTCTGAATGGCCGTTGATGGGTTACATGGCAGTTGGTGGGTGTAACTGTCTAGCCACTGGAAGGTGGGGGAGTTGGGTAGAGGAGGCCCAGTCCCGAACCGAGCAGACTTGGAGATCTCAGCCCCGGGTCCCGCACACCTGGGTTCCTCTGCTGGTTCCTCGTCCAAGCGTGTGGAGACTGGTCTCAGCATGACTTTTGACTGGGTCTGGAGGTCTTCAGCTGTCGGGGATCTGCTCGGGGCGGAGAGGGAAACTCAACCCACCCTCCTCCAAGGGTTTGATGTTTACTTGTGTCAATGTAGACTTCCATATACATCAATAAATGCAGTTATTTTTCTGAGTTTCTGAAATTTATAGATTTAGATCAATCTCTTTGTAGGACTTTAAACATATAGAAATTATTGTCTTCAAAATTATTTTCATAAGGCTACCACTAGAGCAGTGATGCTATCTTTCTTTAAAACCTTATTTTGAAATGAGTTATTTTCATATACTCTTTATAATCATCAGACTGATAAGCTACAATGACTAAACCCAAATATTCAAAGGGCTAATTTCATTAGTTGGGAATTATTCTGTCTTGCTCTAGAGACAATAATCAAGAAATACATGAGACTTCCTTTTCATACGGGAGGCCAAGTTCTGCTCCCAGCACCACATGGTGAGTGACGGCTAAGCACACAAAAGAAGTAGCTCCCGAGGACTCCACTGGATGTGATCCTAAAACCAAAAATCAATAAGTAAATGAGCATATAAATACATGACTATTACAGCTCTATGGTTTGATTTGATTTGCAACCAGAACTTTTACTGGTTGTAGCTATTTAACATTGCTGTGGATCATTAAGCAAAGTATGGCTGCTACAGAGTACTCACAGATTGATGGTAAAAAGCTGGATTACTAATCTCAAAGTCTTTTCAACTTCCTTTAGGACTCAATTTTCCATGTATCTGTTGGGCATCTATACTGGATTGCTTCTATTTTTTTTTATATATATGGTGACTTACAGATTTTATCATAGAAGTCTTTCAACTTCCTTGTTAAATATAATCCTAGATATTTAATTCTTTTTGAATATTGTAAATGGGAATTTTGTAATTTAATTTTTCTTCTAGTGAAAAATAAAACCCTGTGTTTTTTTTACTCCGTCAAAACTAAGTCAGAAATAGAAACTAACATTTTTCACAGAAAACTAGTAAATTTATAGAAAAGCTGAATTCTAGGCTAACCCATTTTAGCTTTTACACAAAAGATGACATGTCAGATCACCTGTTGTTTAAAAACTGAAACTTCTTTTCCATTGCCTCTGAAGACTGTACAAGAGGAAACACATTTAAATTGGAGCAGTGGGAGTGTTGACTGACTTTTACCATAGTGGAAGACGGATATTGGAACACAATTTTGAAAACAAACTTCCTCCCTGAATTTAGGCATAATATGTTATAGAACACAATATATAGAACACCAATTTTAGAAACTATAGATATGCTTAAAAAATTATCATTATGCTGTTTCAAGCAGATTTTCAAAGTTTGTTTTCTATGGTTTATGAAAACACGCTTATTGAGGCTTACATAACATAGAGAAAAAATAAAGAAACGTTAAACATAGCTATAATTTCATCACCTTGATCCATATTGATAATTTTTTGCACTTCATTCATCTTTTTAATTTTATTTTCATTTCATTTCATTTCATCATCCTGTTAATCGTCGATTGCCTTGAGCAGGCCCCAGTAACGTCTCTTTCATCCTAGCCCTGAGATTATATTCACGGCTCTTTAGGAGAATGAGACCCATCATTGTTACTGGTATTTGGCATATTTGGTATGCCACGGGGAGTTTGCCAGACTCTGCCCTGTGGGCAGGCTACATTCGATAGCCTGCAAGTATGTCCTTAATTTTATTATTCTATTATATTTTATGTAACACTTCTTTTTTTGCGATTTCTTGGGTAATTTTGCTTTTTTTATAATTATAGTATATTGTTTTTGCCAAGTTTAAAAACAATTTTGTAAATATATAATACATTTAAAAAGAGTTAACATGTATTCTATGTCGCAATCTTAAAACCTGATGTCTTTTCAATTTTCAGTATTATGCATTTCTGAATTAGTTTTCTTTTTGGGTCACGCCCAGCAAAGCGCAGTGGTTACTTCTGGCTCTGCACTCAGGAATTACTCCTGGCAGTGCTTGGGGGACTATATGGGATGCTGGGAATCCAAACCGGGTCTGCCGCATGCAAGGCAAACGCCCTACCCGCTGTGCTATTGCTCCAGTTCATGCATATATGATGTAGACATATTTTTATATATGCATAACATACCTATTTTACAAAATTTGATTCTATTCAAATGTCACCAGCACATTCATACTTTATGACATATCTTAAAATAGTTTCTGGGGCATAGACATTTATTTTGTGTAATTATCACTTATTTGAATTCTAATCTTTCATTATCTTATTCATTACATATTACTATTGTAATTCTTTCTCTGCTAAGTTGTTGGATAGTCTTCCTATAAGCAACAATTCCAGATGTTTTTCTTGGTGTGTTTTCTTTTGGGGGGGGTGCATACCCAGTGATGCTTAAGGGCTGCTATTCCCATTCTCTGTACTCAGGTTTGTTCCTTGAAACCCCTGTGTATAGAGTGCTCATTGAATTGGACCCTGTGATGCTAGTGATCAAACCTCAGCATTTTGCTAAATATGTGCTTAGTATATTGAACCCTCTCTAAAGCCCCCGATGTACTTTTTATAAATGCATATTGAATGTTTTCAGAGAAAACCAGATATTAATAGCAATTTTTCACTTCTAATTTTTTTCCCTCCGGGTCATTTAATTAGATAATTATAAGTTCATTTTCCCACATGATATAATCTATTTTCGGAGAGCCCGGCAAGCTACCGAGAGTATTCGATATACCAGACACAGTAACAACAAAGTCTCCAATGGAGACGTTACTGGGCCCGCTCGAGCAAATCGACGATCAACGGGAGGGCCTTTACCTTTACCTTATCTTTTTTTGATAATTGACAGTCTGTAGTTTATAATAATGTTAATAATGGTTTCTCATCACATGATTCTAACACCTCACCCGACACTTGGGTACTCCCTCTGCCAAGGGATGTAATCTGTTTTTTAATTACTCAAATGTTCTTTTATAAAGGTGAAGTCTATTCCCTAGCAGTTGAATTTGATAATTTACATTCTTCTATTTTTTATACCACCATTTCTTCTACTTGACTGAATTCACACAAGAATCCAGGGCAAAGGCAAGTTGAGAACTCATGGCTATAGACCATCTGCTTGTGTTCTTTTTCCCACATTGCAGTATTATACTGGGATTGTTTTAGCCACATTGTTTAGTAGACCTGTGACTGAAACATGGACCTTTAGTCTCTAATGTCAGTGTAAGGAATATATATGTATATACAGGAATCCTAACAGCTCTGTGTACCTAAAATTTAAACTGCTAGGATAAGATATGAGACAGCTGTTATTAATCTTACTAACCATAGCAGGTCAGTTCTGCTATGCTTCATCAAAGAGAAAGAATTTTTATAAATATAAACAGGCATGAAAAATGATAACTTGGCTAGATTGACTATGCAATTTGAACT